AAAAAAAAAACAACAAACAAACCAGAACCAAACAGTAATTCCCCCCAAAAGCAGCAGATTTGCCAAAAAAAAACCAACCGGCGACTTCCCGAAAAAGCAGCTGAGCTGATTTGGGAGGAAAACCAGCAAGTTTCGGGAAAAAGCGACGGATTTGCAAACGAAACCCGGCAAGTTTCTGAAGAAGCAGTGGAGCTGCGAAGGAAAAAGCAAAACACAAAGTTTCTGAAAAAGCAGCGGGTTTCCAAAGAAAAATAAAACCGATTTCCAAGCGGCTGATGGTGAGTGAGGTAAGTCCCTGTTCTGTGGGGCGCACCGGCTGAGTTTTATGAATTTATTTATCTAATATTTAGTTATTTATCTAATAGTTAGTTATTTAAATTAATATTAATTTATTACTGGCCGAAAGTAATACATTTTATTCATTTTACCAGTCAAGGTGTATTAGCCAGTAGTGAGTTTCTTGTGTCGTGAGCCAGCTTTGAGCCACAGCCAAGAGGAGCTGTGAGCATTTTCCTGATATAGATATATTTTTCTTCAGTGTTGCTTTATTTTTTTTCCATGTTATTGCATTTTCCCCAACAGTTTCGCTGCCAGACGCTGATAAACATCCCTGCTTTGAGCTGAGCGCCGGAGGCATGGGAGCGCAGCGCTGGAGGGGTCTCCCACCCGGGAATCTTTCCGACTGTCCCAACGGCTCCCGTTGGGTGATGGATGTGTTCAACGAATGTGCCCAGGACGGCCGGGACATCGCCAGCGTCATCCTGGGTCTGGTTTCCATCTTCTGCTTCGCAGCTGCGTCTTTTCCGTAAGTATCGCTCCCAAAACCCAGCCGAACCCTTCCCTTGGTACAACGCTCCTCCCTAAAGATCAAATCTCAAGTGCAAGCTGCCTGAATTATTAAATCTACCCAGCAAAAGCAATCTGGGCTTGGAAAATTTGGGTTTACCAGGAGCAGGCAGTACAGCCCCACAGCCTTGTTTGTTATTATATTGTTATTATGCGGCTTGGAAGCTGTAATAACCCACGTAAGCCAACTGCAATGCGGTCGTTGCAGGTCATACGTGCGGAAGAAACGTTTCCAGGAGCCCCAGGCTTCTTGGAAGTGCTGGGACAGCCGTGGCAAAGGGGAACATGGAGGGGTCACGCTCGTTCTCAGTGTATCATCAGACTATTTTGTAACCGGAGAGGCGGTTTCTGCTTCTCCTCGCTGCTTTCTGCCCCGGCACGAGGGACGGATCGCAAGGGCTCGAGCCCAGCCCATTGCTTCCAGCACTCAATGGGTCGCAGGACTTCTCAGGGTGGCCAGTTTGCAGGGGAGCACGTGGCTTTGCTAAAAGAAATCTCTGCTTTTCCTTCCTGCCCCTCTGCTCTGAGTGCTTTGCGAAATGATCTGGGTGGGAGCAACAGGGAAACCTGGGGATGGTTCCCAGGTAGCGCTGAACCGGCTGGGGGAGAATGATTTGTGTCTCTGCCCAACTCTCTGCAGGCAGTTTTACCAAGCCTGCAAAACGGGCATCATGGACCGGGCTCTCTCCATATATTTCCTGCTGGGATGGCTGAGCGGGGACCTCCTAAACCTCATCGGTTCCTTCCTGGCTGATCAGTTGCCACTGCAGGTACCGACCGACTCGCTGGGGCTGGGTTGGCTCTCAGACACCCCAGACTCCAGAGAGGAAGGATGGGATGGGTAATGCTTAATCCAGCACTGGGAATCAGAGCGCCAAACAGTCCAGGAATGTTCCCCTTCTCCCCCCTGGGATGCAATGCCATGCCCCGGGATGCTGGCTCATCCCGGATACCAGCTGGAAGCCTTTCTGCCTGTAGGTCCAACCCGTCCTTCTCCCTGCAGGTTTACACAGCTGTTTACTACGTGCTCGCAGACCTGGTGATGCTGTCTCTCTACTGCTACTACAAAGTGAAGAACCGGGGTGGAGGATGTGAGTTGGGATTAGGGATGCAGTGGGGCCGTGCCTTTCTCTTGGCACATCTTTCGTGCTGGTTTCTCCTCAGCTGCAGAGCCAGGAGGGAAGCAATGCCTGGGGGAGATGCATTGGGGCAGAGATGCTTTGGAGATGCGTTGAGGCAGCCATGGGAGGCCCCTTGTCACTTGCTGGCTTTTTTCTTGGATAATCTGAGCACCCATGAAAGCCACAGCTGGCAGATAGCTGCTGGCTGTGCCTGGGCTTCCTGCAAACTGCCGTGCACAGTGGCTGGGTTGGAAGTAACCCCCCTGTGAGTTGCATTAAGCACAGAAAGAAATTACTGACCTGCAGTTATGCAATAACTCCATCCTGGAGCTGGAAACCACAGCCAGATCTCTTGACTGTCCGGCCAGCGCTTTAAGGGAAGGGGTGAAGTTTTCTGGCTGTTCCAGGGTTGATGCTCTTCTTGTGGTTAATGACAGCCTTGACATGATGGACAAGTTCCTCCCTGTTCAAATGAAGTGAAAAAAGAACCTGAACGGGGCTCTGCCGTTCTTGCAAGGCTTAAACAGCAAGAGAAAATCTGGTTTGTAACGCAGGAGCTTTCTGTGAACTACAAACAGACGTCCCTCGGGACCCTGAGAACTATTTAATTTATTAAAAACAGCCATTTAAATTTATGAAACCGATTGAGAGATGCCCATCAACTATAGTTGCATTAATGCTGGAGAGCTTATTTTCAGAATAAATCAAATCCTGCTGTCGAAGCAGGGCTGGGATTGGAACGTGCACTGCTGGGAGTTCAGACAGAAAAGCCTGCAGATGGAGGGGGTGATTTTTAAGAGCCTTGAACCCAAAAGAAGCGCGAACGCTGTCAGCCTGCCGAGATAGAAGCGGTTTCCTGCCCGATAACTTACAAATCACCCGTATCGCTGCCAGATAAACCCCCCGCAGCAGCTATTGCCGAGTTATGTGGTGCTGGCTGCGCCACAGGAGAGATAAGAGAGAAACTGAAGGTCTCTCTACCCAGAGATGGCCCTGGCACCCACCAAGGATGCTGGGCTGCACTGGGGGCTGATGGTGGAGCCCTCCCTAACCAGCCTCCGCTTGATTCCCCGCAGTCGCCGCCCCGATCAACGCTGCCTTTGTCTTCCTTTCCTTGGGCATGGTGTCGACCATCTCGTTCCTGGGCAGAGGTGCTGCCGTGGCGCAGGACCTGGCGACGTTTAAAGGGAGGTCCCTGCTGTCTGCTCACGTGGGTGAGCCCAGGTTGGAGGTGAGCTGGTTCCTCAGTCTGGGTGATGGTGGGGAGAGAGGATAAAAGCGTCCGGTGGGGTGGGCGTGTCGTGCTGGACCAGCGCGATCCTGCGCAGCGCTCAGCGGGGCGAGGGGTGGATGGGGAGATCAAAGGCTGGGGTGTGGAGCCACAGCACGGGTGGTGAGAGCACCTCTGAAAACCCAGGGGCTGCTCTCGAGCCCTCGCTTCACCTCGCAGCCTTTCACCAGGAGCGAGATCGTTGGCTTCACCATCGGCTCCGTCTCCTCCGTGCTCTACCTGTGCTCCCGAGTCCCCCAGATCTACACGAACGTAAGTGTGGGGCAGGGGAGGATGGCAGCCCGGTCCCAGGCACCCCCTGGGCTCCTGGGATTTCAAATTGAAGAGCAACAGTGGGATCATCTTGCTTCTCTTTACTGGGAGGTCCCAGGTCCCCGTCTCTGATTGTTTCTCAAGGGACTATTTTTCTGTATTCCCGCTCAGAAGCCCGATGCATTTTTCTCCTCTCTTTTTAACATACCGATATTTTGAGGGTGGGACTTTCATTTCGTCTTTATTTACAAGCAAAAGGGGAACTAAAAGGCTCTTGGCATTGAGTCACCACCTTTTTTCTTCTCTCTTTTTTTTTTTTTTTTTTTTTTTTTTTTTTTTTTTTTTTTTTTTTGGTGGGAGGGTGATTAATGCTACTTTCTAGTGAGATTTCCGAGCTGCACGCAAGCTCCTCTCTCCGGCTGCTCTTCCAGTACAAGAGGAAATCCACCGTCGGGGTCTCCTACTCCCTCTTTGCCCTGGTGATGCTGGGGAACTCGCTCTACGGCCTCAGCGTCCTCCTGAAGAACCCTGAGCCGGGGCAAGGCGAAGGCAACTACGTCCTGAAACACCTGCCCTGGCTGGTGGGCAGCCTGGGCGTCCTTTCCCTCGACGTGGTCGTATCCTTTCCCCACCAACGCTTCCCCCTGGGATCGCATCCCACCGGTGAGGCTTTGCTGGGAGCGATCCCATCTCAGGGCAGGGAGGGTTAGGCAGGAGCAGGCGGGTCAGTGCTGCTCACTGGTTGATTTTGAGCTGTGCTTGCTCACCCGCGTGCCGGTGAGTAATTTATGGTGTTGCAACAGCTGAGTGCTTCAGAGCTTTATTTGCAGTAGAGCTCGTTGCCCGGTTTCCACCTCTCCTGGCACAAACAGCCGTTTTTTGACACATCACGTCGATCCGCCCTTGCTCACGTGAAGAACCTTAACCTCTTCCCAGATCTCCTTCCAGTTCCTTGCGTATCGGAGAGGAAGACCCAGCACCCACGAGGAGAGGGATGCTCTTCTCGCTGAGCAGGGTGACAGCTTGGAGAGCTGACGAAGGGACCTGCTCCGGGTGGAGAACGGGACGATGCAGACGAGGAAGCTGGCCGCGACGCTGGGCAAAATGCCCTCTCCATCCTGGTGGCTTTTGGGAGAAGAGGACCCAAGCCAGCGGGTGACACGTTGTGCTGCTAAGACTCTAAGCCCAGCCAGGCAGCAGAGGACGCTGCTGCGAGACCTTGTGTCTCTGATACCAATGATACTATCGGGATAAACAGGGAATTATTTGATACCTCAAAAGGTCGCTCTTCGCTGCTCTTACGCCCCGCAGCTGAGCTCAGCCACTTCTGCCCCACCTGCTGTCTCTCACCAGTCATCGGAGCTTCCCCGGTATGGGCAAACATGGGAAGAACCGAAGGGACTGTGGGAAGGGACAGAGGTGACCGAGCTGCCACGGACACGAGCACCTCTTACCTCTGTGGGCCACATTTCTCCACCGTGAGCTCTTCCTGGAAGGTCTGGCAGGGCCCGGGACCAGTTCAGGAGGAGGAAGGGAAGGGGAAGCGTAACCAAAGTGTTTTGGTCCATAAATACCCGTTTTAATTCACACGTCTATAAAACAAGTCCTTGCCCCACGTGCCTCCTTTGGTTTTATTTTGCATCTGGCAGCTCCTGCCTCTTAACACGTGTCGCAGTCCCCGTTCTCTCGACTCCTCATGGTTGTTGCCTCTCCCACGTTTTAAGTTGCTCCATCCCTTTCTGGTTAGCTGCAGAGGCCGTTCCCCAGGCAGATGATGCTGCCTCTCTGCTCGCTCTGGTTTTCAGTCCTGCCCATTGTTGATGAATTTACTCCCAACACTGATGAGTGATCCCCGTCTCGGGGCCCTGCACCCGGCACGGCGGCTCCTTGACCACAGGACTGGAAGCAGCGGCAGTTTGGGAAAAG